CCAAACAACTATGCAAGGAGAAACATCCTGCACCACATCTGTAGTACCATTATAATTCCTCAATTCCCAATTTATAACAAGCGACTCACGTCGCATAAGATTGAATGGAAAAGAAATGAAGGCAACCCTGTAGCCTCTCGAAGATAAGTACAGACATCTCCGTACCGATCCGCAAGACTCTACTGGACTTGCCCATGACTCGTGAGACCTAAGGAAACCTAGTGCTCTGATACCATGTTGTCACGACCTAAAATCCACTAAGGGTCGTGATGGGGCCGGACACCACTGTCAAGCAAGCCAACACCAAGAAGTTAGTTAAATTCTCATTTTAGTATTTTTGAAATCATTCCTTTTCCTTACATTAAACAATAAATAATGAACTTCACTAAGTAAATAATGATATTTAAAAAAAATTTAAATACTGAATAATCTCGTAGTCATCCCAGAACCCGGTATCAGAAGTGCATGAGCAAATTTCTAAGCATAAAATGTGATACAATAACTGTCCGGAATACAAATCGGACAGAAAAGAAAGTACAATACTCTAAAGGAAACTCTGCTAGATGTGGGTCATCTCGAGAGATGCAGCTCACCTAAATCTTCGTATCAACCATGTCGTTGCGCCCAACAAGTCCACTAGATATACATGTGCTTGTGCAACAAAAATACACAACAAGTGTAGTATGAGTACGAAAACAACGCGTACCCAGTAAGTATCCAGTCTAACCTCGAAGAAGTAGTAACGAGAGGTCAACTTCGACACTTACTAATGGTTCAATAATATAATATCAAGAATGTGAAAATCATAGATTTTATAAGGCGACTGCAAACTCAAATAATCAAGAAGTGGTAAACATTTCTTTTGTAATAGAAACTTTCAAACTTATTTTCATCCTTGTCAAATTTAGTAAGTTGAGCATAAAGATATCCTAGTTAACTTGATATTACTTAATATGATCTACTTTGACATGCCAATAGGTAAGGATTGATTATCTTCCTGTCATTCCATCCTTTATTGTCATGCAAAGGTAGTTAAATTTTAATTATCAAATTAATCCAGTTTTGTCAAAATAGGGAAATAAGTTCCACCGATAGATAATATTATATTTTGTATCAAGGCTGATGGTACTAAATAATGGTTGTTGGGATTTGCTTAACTGTTATAAGAGACATAAGCGACAAGACACCTAGCTAAGAAATGGTACCAACTTTTAGAGAATTCTCTGATTAATTTTGTGAATATTCTATAGGACTACCTTCGTTATGAGAAATAGACGTTGGTATTGATCTGGTACCTAACTTGTAACCCAGATCAAAATCCCCATATTGTATTAGACACCGATAGAGTTAGAGAGAGCTAAAGGAACGGTTGCAAGACCTAAAAGATAAGAGTTTTATTAGATTGAGTATATTTCTACGGGGTGCACAATTAGTACTTCTCTAAAAAAAGTAAAATAAGTTTTTAAGGGTATGCATCGACTAGAGGCAATGGAATAAGGTAATGCTGCGGAATAAGTACATAGTGCCTCATGTAAATAACCTGCTTAGAATTAGAGAAGAATATATTCCCAAGGCAGCATTCCAAACTTGTTATGGTATTATAAGTTACTTGTGATGCCTTTTGGACTTATCGATTCTCCATCTGCATGTTGGACTTAATGAATAGGGTGTTCACACTATTTTGGACAAATTTGTCATAGTATTTATTAATGATATTACCCCATAGCCAGGATGAACACGAGGATTACATAAAGAAAATTAGTTATAGACTAGTGCAAGTAGTTTCTGCAGAAATTTTTTCCAAAATAACAGTGCCACTAACCAAGTTAACCTAGAAAAATGTGAAGTTCCAGCAAATGGAGGAATGGGAGCTTAATTTTTTTAAACTAAAAACATGTTTGACAATCTCACCACTATTAGTCTTACCATCATGTTCTAGAAAATTAACGGTGTTATGAAATGCTTCGAATATCGGATTAGGATATCTTGTCATGTAGAATGATCATGTGGTGGCTGCTTCAACATGTCAAAAAAAAAGCACGAGCAAAACTATCCCACTTATTAATTGGAGATGCCCATAATATATTTGCTTTTATGATCCGGAGACTATTTGTACGACGAAACTTGCGAGATTTATCTGAAGTATGTCTTTCTAGCAGACACATATGAATCTTTAGCAATGTAGATGGATAAACTATTCTATATCATCCACGAAAGGCTATTATTTTGGCTAATGCATTAAGAAAAAAAGTTTCTTGAATAGTTTGGCGCATATAGCTCCTGTAAAGAGATTTTTGGTTAAGAGTATGTACATACTAAATGGTACAAGTGTCAGCTTAGAGTGGAAAGAAATATAGAGCTATTGTTTACTAGTTTTCAAGCAAAGTCTTCATTGGTAAAGTGCATAAAGGCCACTCAATATAAAGATGAGAGATTATGCAAAGATAGAGATGAGGTCCTAGCTAGTAAAAGAAAGAATATGACTATTGACAGAAATTGTATTCTTCGAATAAGTAACCAGTTATTTGTATTAGATAAAGATATGTTAAGACAAATTATCTTTGAGGAGCTCACAACTCTAGATACATCGTACATTCAGGGTCTAGTATGATGTATCATGATTAGAAAAAAATGTATTTCTAGGAACAGAAAGATGGATGATTTTCTTAACCTTGTTTCTAACTAATTGACTTGTTAGCGTGTCAACATTTGCAACTCTTCAGGCCTACTACAACTGCTCGAGATTTTAAAGTAGAAATAGAATGGAATCAAAGTGAATTTTATGACAAAACTTAATTAGAGGTTATAATTATGTGGTAAATTAAAAATTGACTTGCATAGTAGGTACACTTTTACTCGCCAAAACTTGTCTTACTGAGAATGAATATGCACAAAGACATATGGATAGAAAATTGTCAAATTCTATATGGTCTATTGTCCATTTCTGATAGAAGATGACAAATTACTGCACGATTTTGAAATTCTTCCCAAGAAATATTGGTTACACGAGTATACCTTAATACCACATTTCATCAGCAGACATACGAGCACTCTAAACAGACTACACATATCATGAAGGATATGTTGAAAGCTTACATATTGAGTTTGGAGGTAGCTTGTATGCTTATATATCTATAGCTGAATTTGCTTACAACGACAACTTTCAGTCCAGTATTTAGGTGGCACTGTATAGAACCTTGCGTAGTATATAATGTCGTTCTCCTATCGGATGGTTTGATGCCGATGAGGCTAGCTTATTAGGACCCGACTTAGTAAAGGAAGCTATTGACAAGATTCAGTGATCAAATTGCTCACAACTCAAAATACACAAATGTCTTAAGCAGATAAAAGGAGACGGGACTTAGTTTTCACAATTGAGGATAGAGTGTCTGTATGAGTTTTCCCTATAAAAGGTGTAAGAAAAAAAAAGGTAAGTTGAGCCCGAAGTTTATAGGGTCATATGAGATACATGACCAAGTGGGAACTATGGCATATCATTTGGTACTTTCTCTTGAGTTGTCTTTCATTAATCAAGTGCTTCAGACCTAAAATGTCTATCAGACTCCTCTCATGTGTTTGAAGTAGGAGCTGGTAGCTACTGTTGACAAATAAGTAAGGAGTTACGGTCAAACAAAATTATGTTCGTGAAAGTCTTATGAAGAAACCATATAGTTAAAGTAGTTACATAGAAAGTTGGAAAAGATATGCAAGTGAAGTATCCTCATCTATTTTAGTCTACAGGTACGTACTTAAGTTAAATTCTGGGACAGAATTTTTATAAGGTGGGAAAGATGTAATATCCCATGATTTAAATAAGGATATATTAGCCCTTTAGTAACTAATTAAGCAAAAAAAAACAAAAAAAAATGACACCTGATAACAACATATAAGGGGAATAGGCAATTGTTTAGCCTTATATTAGATTTTGGCAAAGGTAACCCCAAATAATTGGGCATTATATAGCCAAATCCTAAAAACTATTCTATTTTATTATTTATTCTCCTAACCGTTTGCTGCCCTCCCTCTATTGTTCGTTGGTCCCCCTCCCCTTTCTTGTTCGCTGCCTTCCCCGTTCCCTCCCTATTCCAAATGAGATTAAAATGGTGGATTAACTCTACCATTGGTTTACATGTGCATAAAATTCGACAAATTAAGCAATTTTTGCCGGTGGATTAACTCTAGTATTACCCATCAAGTACGGAGGAGCGAAGCTCTAATATAGAGCGACAAATTAATATGTGCATACAATTCTTTGAGGTCCAAACATATATATGTGTGTATTCATAAGAAATTATATATTATACACTGATATATGCATGAAGGAAAGCAATTTTTTGATATACATTTTAATATATACAAAGAAGGATAATAAATTTGTGTTATATATTTTGCTATACACGTTTTATTATGTATTATACAATGTGATATACAAATAATATAATTAGTTTTGTGTTATACACTTGGATATAAAGATAATAATAAATTATAGACAACTACCAAAGAAAATAAATTTTTGATATATACAAAGAAGAAAAATAAAGTTGGGATGTATATATTGGTATACATGTTATTTAACATGTTATACAATATGATATACAAAAAATAAAATTTATTTGTGTTCTACACTATGATATACAAATTATATTTATAATTTTTAACATTTTTAATACTCGTGAGAAATAATTTAAAAACATAGAAAAAAATTGTAGAGATTTGGGAGAAAATCTTGAAAGATTTTTAAATTCTAACGAAAAAGAAATAAAAGCCTATATCTAAATTTAGGCTACGTGTGCCAAATACTAAAAGATAGGCCATTTTCTGCCAATTATTGGACTAAGTTGTTGTGCAATGCCAAATCCTAAAAAAAAAAAAAGAGATACACAAAAAGGGACGAAGCCACCAGATGGTAATTTGGCCAAAAAGCAAAAGTCAAACAAACCTAGCAAAAGAACTAATAAAACAAAAAGAATGTATAAATGGGCCTTAACCCATCAGCAACGTGAGGCAATTAGGAGAAAACGAAAAAAAAAAAAAAGGACAAAAAGCCAAAGGGAGTTGGGGAAAGGGGTACGCAGCATATCTGCTTCAATTGAAACAGAAGCTGAAGAAAAGAGTTTGAGACAAAAAAAATCCTTTAGCCAACAATATATCAACCAGGAAAAAATAAAGAAAGGAAAAGTTACTGGTGTTCTTAGCGCCAGAGTACCGTGCTTCACTAAAATATTGGCATATGTTTTCTATATTCAACAATAGATTCCAGGTAATTACATGGAATTCTTCTTCTTTTTAAATAGTATTATTTTATATACATGATTCTTATAGGACTGAGTAGATATGATTTTGAAATTTGATTAAGAGTTTAAAAGATAAAGTTTAGAAAATACGGAAAAAATTCATGAGACTTTTCCATGAATTAACTGGGTATATTATATGAAATAGGTTGTGTTTGATGGATTTTGGATTGGTTTAGATTACCAGTAGCGCGAGTCAGTATAATTTGACGAGTTGGAAAACAAAAATTAGCCGTAAAATCTCAAAAATTGGGTATTCTAAATAAGCTATGAATTAGCCTAAACAAGGAAATTAATACGAGATCGATGTTGATATGGTTATAGACTGATTGAAGAAAGTCGTACGGATCGTTCGAGGTGACGAGTTGGTATTTCATACGAGTACTGTGAGTAGTAATCTTACCGCAATTTGTGTTTTCATTACTTGCATGATTTTTAATATGAATATATTACCGATTATTTTGAGTTGCATGTGGGACAAGTCTTTTACTCGATATGATACCGAAATAGTTATTTGAGATGATTATCGTTATTTTAAATATTCTTGTTATCACTAGATATGTTTTACCATTTCTTGAATTTACTGTTATCGAAATGAAATTACATAATTTGATAAGAACTGAAATGTCCTATATTTTTTCAAAATATTTTCCTATGATTATATAGGATTACAGAGACAAGTATAAATGGAAGTAGACTTTGAAGGCTCCCGTAGCTAATGGCGAGTTCGTTAGACCTGGTGCACCTTGTAATTATCGATTATCGTTACAACCCTTGCTAGTGGGAAGGTAGAACTAGCATATTGTTACTGATTTCCCTCGAGTAGGGACTACCGTTATATTTGACTTCTTGCGAAGAAGTCCACAGTTATACCGATTACATGATCTGTTCTTTGAAACCTCCCAAATATGAATATTGATATTATACAGTGGTTACCGAGCTTATTATTTAATTGTCAATTGTATTATACTACAAGAAAAACATGATGAGACTGAAAATTGTTTATTATTTTTTAAAGGCATTTTTATGATATTTTCTTTTTAATATACTAGCATGTTTTCTGACTTGTCCCCAATAAAAACGAGTGTGGTTAAGTGTTATTAATTACTGAGCTAGCGACTCACTCCCTGCTATTTTTTTACAGAGACAGCAGTTGACGCAGGTGAAGGTTTTGTTAATTAGAGCGCGTAGGTTGATACTTCTTGGTGAGCCCTGCACTCAATCGCGTGGGCGAAGAGTTTTATTTATTTGCTATAGTCTTTTCTTTTGAACTCTTAGATTCGCTCCATAGTCATTCTTTTAGTGACATGAGTATTCTTTCGTTATTATAGATTTAAGATGAGTATTGCATTTTCTTATCGAATTGGAGATAAATTAGTATTGCTGGTTGTTAGTGTGTTAATTATTAATGGTGGAGACTTGTTTTGATTAATTGATAAATTGTTGGTTGGTTGGTTTGATATTAGGATGGTTGGTTGTTGATTTTGAGACAGGAAATTATTTTTGGATAGTCCTAAAATAGGGAAAACTTTGTCCGATTTTCTGTAAAATACTGATGAGGCTTACTTGGGGACACTTGTTCCGGAGTGCCAGTCATGATCCAAATTGGGTCGTGATAGTTAATTGACCATTTTATTGCATAAATTGCTGAGCACGAATTCTATGTTCTACTTGGGATGCTTAAACTCTGGGCGTAGTGCACCAATAGCCACTTTTAAGCCTGTTATTTAAAACATATCCACAATTTACAATGCATTTAAAGATTATCCTTTCACCCAAACTTCAAGACTAAGTATGCTGAATTTGAAAATTCAGGATTTAGGGTATGTTTGGTATGAAGGAAAATGTTTTCCTTGGAAAATATTTTCCTAGAAAATGTTTTCATGAAAAATGAGTGGTTTTATCACTTATTTTCCCTTGTTTGGTTGGTGAATAGAAAACTTTTTTCGGAAAATATTTTCTAGTATTTGATTAGAGAGTAGAAAATATTTTTTTATGCTACTCTCCTCACCCCCATTCCCCCAAGTCCTCATGTTTCCTTGCCCCCCTCC